GAGAGAGAGAGAGAGAGAGAGAGAGAGAGAGAGAGAGAGAGAGAGATATCCTGGCTGCCCTCATCATAAGCAAAGCTACCCTGGGGAGGGACTCCCTCACTTTTATGGCCCAAGCATTTAACAGAGCCTGACAGGAGTTTCCAAGTATACTTCCCTCGTTTTAAATGGAGTGAGTAAAACAGTGACTGGAAAATGCACTGAGCATGTACAGTTGAACTGAAAGATGGCCTGTTTACTGCCAGCCATATCAGGCTGCCTGGAGAACTTTGAATGGAAACTCCTAGTTAGGGGTGAATTTCTTCCTAAGCACTGACAATCACTTTGTGCATTCTGGGATGTTCAAATCTTGGGAGATAGCAGTCATTCCACTTTGTGGTGATGATCTGAGATTTATCAAACACTTCGCCTGCAAAAAGACTGGGATGTGATAAACAATAAATTTAGGGTCTTTTAAAAAATTTTTATTCCTAAATACTCAGAAAAGCTCCCTAGGTAAAACACTCTTTGTTAGCCATCTGTGAAACAGGGCTCATTTACCTTTGTTCTAGTACCTCTTTAAGCTATGGAGAAATAAAATTGGGTGCACAATTTTAGTGCCTTCCACTATGTCACAAGAGATGTCACACCTTGCAATATGTTGTGCACATCTATGTATACATACACACAAGGAATTTAGAGATACATCAGTGTATTTCTGTTTCTGGAGATGTAACTGTACATATGTAAGCATATTATTCCTATCATTGGCCATTAGAAAATTATCCCAATTTCAAATACTCATGGAAATTTACAAAATTAAGTAAAATGAAAGCTTTAAAACCCCAATGATGATGAGATTCACTCCTTTTTATTTTATTTTGTCCCTTTCTGCTGCTTTCTACATTTGGAACCATTATACTTAGTCAAACTCTACCAAAGCTTGACATTAAGTCTTCAGGCCTAGTATTTAGCAGATGAATGAGATTATGTCTTCATTATGAAATGACTGATTTTCATCAAAGAAATTATGTTTTCTCAATTTTAATCTGAAATTTATCCACTTAAATGATAAATGAGAAAATGAGTGGATAAATGGTAGATAAATGAGAAAACTGAGGGGAATTTTTATAGTTGGTCCTTGTGGGAAAGTTTTTAAGTTCTAGGATACACTTCTGTTCACACATTAGTCCAAAAGAATACATTTTTAAAGCATAATATTTTAACTACCTGCCCTTTTGGATTCCAGGTGCCATTGCTAACTCCTTCATTGTGCCATAGGTTTTTACTGGTTAATATCATGTGTGCGAGAGCAATGTTATCTCTTTCAGAATAAGTGTGCTTTTGCACCAGGAATGCCTTGACCACAATCACAAGGAAGTGCAAGCTAATGCCGGTGTCAGAGCAGCATTTGTGCACACCCTTGGAGATGTGTTCCAGAGCATCAGTGTGCTAATCAGCACACTTGTCATCTCCTTTAAGATGAGTGTGTTTACATTTTCCCACCATAGTAAGTATATGAATTAGGTAGTACAGAAGCAGGCTTTCCACTATTATCAATATCACAGGCTATGTTTAGCTACACAAACTACTTTGCAAGATTAAAAGACACTCAAAGTTTGAACTCTTAGTCTTTCTCAAAGTCCTAAGAGGCATGTAACTATTGGGCTGCCGGTGTTTCAAGAAAATGGCTATTTTCATTGTGGCATTAAGATGGACAGCAATGCAATTGAGAACACCTTAGGGTTCTTACGTTGTAAACAACAGAAAAGATCTCTGGCTCACTTTAGCAAAATCCACACTTATTGGCTGAAATTTATTGAATGTATTTCAGGACAAAAAATTAAGATAGAAAAAAGGACAAACTTCAGTATCCAGTTTTCAGAAACTAATTTCTCTCGAAGGCGCCATGCTAAAATAAATGTAATTCAAACACATTTCCCCTGTTCTTATCATTGCTGAAGATTCATGTTTCTGGGACAGGGAGTCCGATCCACCTAGTCTGAATCTTGTACCTGCTCTTGCTTGCGAGAGGGCCTGTTTTCACTCTCCTGTCAGCATTGCTCCTGAGCCAGGCGAGCCCCGCTCCAACGATGCTAATGCAAAGTGGGAGTGAATTCTGGCCCGGTCTCTTCCCCTGAACAAATAAGTATTCAGTACAGATCTCTATCTGGTAATACAGTACTTACAACGAACAGGTGGGTTGAGGGGAGGCATTTAGCTCTGTCTTTTTGCCTCATGATTGTTCAAATCACAGGGACTTTTTTTCCCCCTAAAAAAATTTTTCCTAAATGGGGAAACATATAAGTAAAAATTACAGTGAAATATATGGCTTCAGTTGAGCAAAATGCTCACTGAAAGCTTCGAATTTAAGGCAAAAATACTCAAAAATTGTAAGCACAGGTGGAAAGTTGGTGTCCCTTACACATGCCAGGTTGAATGGTGAGTTTCTCAGGGCAAGTGGGACATGGACTCTTCCATGGCATTGAACTTCATCAAGGGCAGAATGGCATGTGTTTCAATCTGAAGCCAGCAGTTCCAGTGGAGGGACAGGACAAGAATGACACGTTGGCTTAAACCTATAGGAAAGCATCAAAGATGCCTGTCTCGAGCATGTGTCATACTGGAGAGGAAAAGAAATAAACTAATCCCAGTCTGCCAAGACCAAGGGCAGGTTATATGTTGGACAGGCGCAAGCTCTGAATAAATGATACCGTTTTGCTCCTCATGTATAATGTGGCCATCTTTGTGCATAGTTTCATTACACACTCTGTACTTGCATTAATTTGAGAGAAGTTAAACCAGGCCTCTTGAATGAACTCTTAACAGTGCTTTCCACCTTAGATCTGAAGTTCTGGGGAGAGGGTGTCCAATAGTCTTCCGTTCTTTAGTCATCAGTATAAAACTAAGAGAAAAACTAAGTCTTCAGGGAAGATCTCATGCCAATGTCTTTGAGTTGGATTCCAACTGTCAGGAGAGTAAAAGGGTAACAGAAAAGGATGGAAACACAGAGGTTTACTCATCTTCTTAATTGAGATTTCTTCATGGGAAGTATGAATTTTCAATTAACCCAAGTTGCTGTATTTTCCAGCCTGACTACAAAATTGCTGACCCAATCTGCAGCTTTGTTTTTTCCGTCCTGGTTTTGGGCAGCACTGTTACAATCTTAAAAGACTTTACCATCTTCCTCATGCAAGGTAGGAGGGATTTCACTATTATTCCTAGGATGAATTTTTTTTCTGTAATCGCAAAAGGGGATGGCTGAAAAGCATGCTCCCTATAGATTTGTATTATAGGGAAACTTTACACTGATAAGAATTTTTTGTGACAATAAATCTTCGATTTCTACTTATAGGGTAACAAATAAATAGATGTGGTTTCTATTTTGTACCTCTAGCAACTGTTAAATGATCTCCCACTGTGTAAAACCAGTAAGTAATAAATACAACAATAAATACAATGTAGTGGGGAGAGTGCAAAAAATGTAAATGTATCCCTAAAAATCCCTGGAAAAGTTCTAAGAAAGACAGTGAAAATCTGCCTCCCAAGCAGCATTATAGTTGAACAGTTCAGCCTAATTGTGTCTGACAGTATAAGAACATCAGGGTGACCTTTTATCTATTTGCCCAGGAAGTGCTTAGTGAGCTCTGACTGCTCGCTGGTATGCTTGAAGCTAGAGTTACCGAGAGAAGCCAATACAGACTCTCTCCTCATGGGAGAAAGATTATTTGAATAATTGCACAGAAATAGAACTGTGAAAGCTTCTGAGAAGAAACATGGGAATTTGTACACGGCCAGGGCATAGGGGCTGATGCTCACAGAGATTCAGTGAAGAATGAATGTTTTGTGGCTCACTCTAACCCAGAGCAGGATCACATGCTTATTAACCCCATTCTCTGTAACCAGAGTCCAGCCCTGACGGTTCTTTTGGGTTGTCTGTCTCCTTGGGTCTTCCGATTAATCAGGAATAGATGACAGAAATAATTTTCACTGTCAAGGAATTCTTTCTTAAACCTAAAGCTTAGAGTGCTTCTCCTCTCCCCATTCTACATTTTGGGGAGATTTTCTTTACATTTGCCATAAAGTAGTTGAAGAGCTACTGGTTTCTCTGCTCTTTCTGGGACACATCTTCACGGGAGCATTAACACTAAGAGACACAAAAACTGTAACTGTGAATGTAAAAGTAAGGTCTTTGTCTCAGACCAACCTCACTTCGAATTCTAGTCATGCAAGTCTAGCTGTGGGACATTAGGCAGACCCTTAACTCCTCTGAACTTCAGCTTTCTCAACTCAAATCCAAGAGTACTGTATCCACCTTGCAATGGTGTTGAGGGAATTAGATCAGATAAATGAAATAGGAAATGATTGGAATTCAGTAAATATAACTTCTTAGTGCACAGGAAGTAGCCTGTGGAGATGGACCCTAAACTACCCATTTATCATCACATCAAGAAATTCCCAGTTTTGGAAGATTTCAGATTTTGGATTTTGTTTTGGATTGTGTTGGCACTCAAAAGAGTTTTGGGTTTTGAAGTAATGAAAATTTTGTATTTTTGGACAGAGATGCTCAGCCTGTGTTGAATTATACCTCAGACACAGGTAGTTGACTATATTTGCAAGGCGACTTTTTGTCGTTCTATTGTCCATTTGCAATGAATACAAATGACATTACACTTTCTATCCTTTGTGTCCGGGAAACAGATACTATGAAGGACTTACCTTAAATCCCTTTTAGCCTAAGCCAGCAGTTTTCAAACTTTGGAGGCGTCAACGTCACTTGAAGCATTTGCTGAAATACAGGTTGCTGGGCCAAACCCTGCAGTTCTCGTGTCACTGGGTCATAGCAGGGGTGGGGTGCTGAGAGTGAGAATTTGAATTTCAGAGAAGATGCTGATGCTGCTGGTTCAGGGACCACACTTTGAGAACCACTGCACTCATCTTTTCGTATCACTTAAGCGATTCCTACACGGTGGTTCTGGGAATTTCAATCAAAACCAGCAGTGTCCATCACAGCATCACGCTTCCAGATGATAGAAAACATCCAAACATGGCCTGAGCTGTTCTCTCTGTCCGGAACATTTGACCACATGATACATGACTTAGAGTACAGTCTCCTTCAGTGACACCACTGAGCGCACATCAGGATTCTGTTCTTGGCCGATGATATTATTAATGGCCGTGACATGGACCCTGGAGTCAGACATCCGCCATCCATTCCCAAACTGAGTAACAGGAGCTTCCCAGCTGTGAACATGAGGCTGAGTCTCTCAAATCTCCGACAAGTCCATTTCCTTTCCTGGAAGCCAAGTGCTAAGGTGAAGCTCTTGCAGAGATTACCGATTTAAAGAGCGGTAAGAGACAGATTGGTGTACGATTTGAGATGACTATATGCCACTTACCTGTCTCCCTGTAGCTCTTCTCTAGCAATTATGCTTCTTAATTTATTTCAGAAAAAGTTTAGAGACTGGGCTATCTTAGCTAATTATTGAAACTAGCGAGTAATTTTTCCGGAAGATAATTTTTAAATTAGGTTAGTATGAAATTCTTATACTGCATTTTATAAACAATGCAGTAAAGTATAAATAATATAAAAGTCTCCCCACATTACCACCTCTGAATTCTCAGTCCCATTCTTCAAGAGTTATATTTATTAATAAGCTGATACAATTTTTCCAAAAACATTTATGAATTTATATACATGTAATGTATGTGCATTGGTGTCTTTTTGATAAAAATGGAATTACACATTGATCTGCATCTTCTCATTTTTAACTTGGAGATCTTTTGTCTGACTACATCTTTAAATACACCATACTCTTCTTCGTAGTTACAACTATTCCTCTGTATGGATACACTTGCTTATGATAGACATGACAGTGGTGTAATTGTGTATGTATATTACATATACATATACACATAATTGTACATATGTATTTTAACATCCATATATCTGTGGAATAGTTCCTAGGCACTGTATTGCTGTTTTAAAAATTAAGGACATTGTAAAATAGATAGCATACTGACATTTTTACCAAAGATAACTTTCTAGTTTCTTTCTCATTAACAACATGTTTATTTCCTAACATCTTTGTTGTCACTGGCTATAACCAAATTATGATTCTTTTAAAATCTGAAACATTACATTTTATTGACTAGTCCATATAGTTCTTAGGGGTATTTAATGAAATAATTACTATAAATTAAATATTTAGCACAAATTTTAACCATAGTAGAGCCTCAATAAAAATTTATTATTATTGTTAAAATATAACAAATTTCATTCATGACTTTATATGTGTTCTATGGTTAATCTGAGACAAGAACTCCTTTAATTTGCTTCTGATACTCTGAGCTTTTTGTTGCTTATCAAGTAAAAGACCGTGCTCTTTGTTAAGTGACATGAAGCTAAACTTTAACTATAGAAACTCTTGAGTTATCCATAAGAAGGAAATCCCATGAGTTAAGTTTCTTAAATCCTGAAAAATGAGAGCTAAGGGGTCCTTATTTCTTTATGTAGGCGGATGATGGCTCTAGTTGTTCACTGCAGTCATCTGGGAAGTATTTAAAAAGTACTTATGTCCATGCCCTCCATAGCCAGAGATCTGGATTTCATTGTCTGATATTTGGGCAGCTTTGACATGTTGTACATGTAACCAGGCTTGAGAACATGCAAGGCAGAGTTGCCCAGGGTCTCATAGATGTTAGTGCAGTGTGAGCTTTTACACTGAGCTGGTTTCACTTTAACTGTTCTGGCTTTTCAGTCTGGAAGTAGCCAGAGCCACTGTCCTTAATACTTTTCACGTCCCCTCATCTTCTATAAGACAAACAGTGCAATGTTTGAAAAGAGTGATCACCTATCCTTCAGCCTTCTGTTCTCCAGGCTGGAGACATCCAGTTCCTTCAGCCCAAGAGCAGCTGATTAGCTGTCAGGCTCCGCCCTTTCTTGTGTGACCCACAGTGTTGTTTTAGAAATAAGGGTGGCAGTGCAACTACTTGATCCTGTGACCCAACACTGAGTGCTGACTAATGTAGCTAAAATAATGGAAAATTTACAAACCCAACAATGAAATGACCTTATAATGTCAGGATTCCCTATTAGTGTAGCTCATTAAATGACCTGTTGGATAACCAACATTTGTGTACTATCATCATTTAAAAGAACAGATATTATCTGAGTTGGTTCTCAAAATAATTCTGTGATCTACATGTTGTTCTTATTGCTCTTATTTTACTGTAAATATGCTGAATATCAGAGAAGTTTCACAATTTGTGTGAATTCAGAATCACTGCAGTAGAACATAGAATGCTAATCCAGGACTTATTTCTACCAAATCCCTGCTGTTTTATTTTGCTTACAGAGTAGGTGTAAAGACAATTAGGAAAAGCACAATTAGTTTACTAATGTACTCTGATTGCAGCTGTTGGCTATGGCATTGTAAATTCCGACAGTATTCTGTCTGTGAAGTTTTGACTGATGGAAAATCCTTTAACAAAATCTGGTTTGTAAGTGTTTGCAGCAAGCTAGAAGTTGGAAAAGGAGAGAGTGAGTCTGTGCTTAGCTGAGAACTCTGCTGGTCATCTGCCCATCTGCACGAGCTGGTTCTAGTTGAGTAACCACAGCCCCAACCCTTTTTGTCAGGTGTACCCAAGGGCCTGAACTACAGCGGTGTGAAAGAGCTCATCTTGGCATCTGTGCACAGCCTACACACCTGGTCTCTAACAATGAACCAAGTGCTTCTCTCTGTTCATGTTGCCACAGGTCAGTGAGTTTTGTAAACATCCTGGACAAGATTCGGTCCTTGTCCTGAAAAGTCAGTAATTTCTCTTCTCCTTATAGAGCTGTCCTTAGCGTCTATTGCCTGTCAAAACAACTATGAAGTGTGTTGCACTGCCAAGGGCCTTTGAAAACCAATCTGCTTATCAATGTCATAGCAACAGGGATATGGATGACATCCTTGGGGCTGACTGCAGAGGGTAGAGACATGGAGAGATGGCACAGAGGGAGGAATCCCCCGCCCCCCTCAAGGTCTCAGACTGGAAATTCAGCTGCACACGTTGGGCATGGTGCCCTATCAGTCAAAATAGTAGAAATGAGTTAATCAAGAAATCCCGATCACTTCCTGTGTGCAGCGTGTTTTGCCTAACACTGAAGATGGAAAGAGGAAGGAGAACAGGCCCTACCCTTAAAGTTGTAGCAAGCTAGCAGGGTGCTGGTAAGAATTATGATAGGTCCTCTGCTGGGTAGTTAGGAATTCTGTGATCCTGTGAGACAATTCTTAGGGTATCGAGTTTCTACTTCAAACTACATTTTCCAAGTAGAAGGTGACTGTGTTTGTGATGTGTCCTAGGGCTGGGAGAAATAGGAAGTGGGAGGTCTGTCACGGCCTCAAGAGAGAGCTAAAGCTGAGGATGATAGGTTAGGCTGCCATAAAGTGAATCAAGAAGTTACTTAGAGGTGGGGGACAGGAACACCAGGGACGCCATCTGAGAACTGTGCTTTTTCAGACAACTTCTTCTGTGAGGGCTCAGGTTGGGCTTTGGGGAATTCGCAGCTTTCTGTGCACCAATATTTCACCATAAATGCAGGACGGTAGTAAACAGTCAGGTTACTGTGAAGGGGGCTTCCCACCCTCCTGATACCATTTGGGACAGGAAAAAGGATGGTAGAGAGGGATGCAGCTCTGAGAAAGGTCTGCGGGGAACTCTAAGTCCCCTGTCACTGGCCTTGATATAAATTCTAATTAAATCCAAGGGCTGCAACCCAGAGATCCCAGAGGGCTGGCGGGCTGGGCTGTATAGAAACATTCGTTCTCTCTTGGCTCTTCCCAGGCTTCTCTGTCCTTCCATACTCCGCTCCTAGCAGGGCCAGGCTCTAAAGGCAGCAGCAGGCCGGCAGAATTCCCATAGTGATGTCCCCCTGCCTCATCTGTGTGACCAAGATGCCTGTCAAGACAGCGTGGCTCCTGAGGGCTCTGCTGTCCCCATTCCACCAGACCCATGACAGAGCCCTTGAAACTGCAGCCCTTGCTTGCCCCTGTGGGAGATCAGTGCTAATCTCACTGTGTTCCTTACCAACAGCGACCAGCCAGGACAGCAGATTGCTTGGAGAGGGGTGGGCAGAGCCCTCAGCAAGTTTCACCTTCCACTCGCTCACCATTCAGACACCGACTGCCTTTTCTATGAAGAACTGTGGGCCTCGGGTGGCCATACGGTCAGCTTTTCTACGTAAAATCCAGGTAAAAGAAAAATTATGAAATTGCTGCTTTTTGGATGTTTTTCTAGAGTATAACTTAATAATTCAGGAAATGAAGAAGCTCAGAGAGGCATAGTACTCATTCCAGGCCACCTGGAAAGTAATTTAGTCAAAGAATTAAGATTAAACACTCTCAGGTTTTTAATGATATTGGACTTGTGTTCAGTTATTGTACTAGGATATTAAGATATGCCACTTTACTTCATTCTAACAACTTTGTGAAGTTGGAGTTAATTCCTGTATTGTACAGATAGTGTATAAATCTCAAAGAGGTTAAGTAATTTAACCAATGCTCTTTAATTTTTCATTAAAAAATATTTTAATGGTGCCTTCGGTCTATGCATTGGTGAGTATCTTAGTTTCCTGTCACTATAACTGAATCCCATAGACAAATTAATTTAAAAAGGAAAGAGGTTTATTTGGCACATGGGTCTGAAGTCTGGGTAGTTCAAAATCAGGAGGATGCATCTGATGAGGTTTTCTCTTACTGGTGGGAGCTTGCCATAGAGACCCAAAAGTGCAGAAATCACAGGTAGAGAGTGGCTGAGCTCCCTGGGTTCTTTTCTTATAAAGCCATTGCCCCTTTGGACCAATGCCCCTGCTTTGTGTCATCTAACCTTGCCTCAAAGGTCCCAACCCAAATACCACAGTCAGATTAAATTTCCACTCTCCAAATACCAAATGGGGGTATTCAACTTCAACATGAGTTTTTTGGGGCCTGAAACAGTTTAGATCTACAACGTCCTCCAAAGCCTCATGTGCTCATTGGTGGGGCTTTTGGGTGGTGATTGGATCCTGGCAATGCTGTACTCATGAATAGATAGTGCACTGATGCATTTATAGCTGTACTCATGAGTAGATAGTCCACTGATGCATTTATAGCTGTACTCATGAGTAGATAGTCCACTGATGCATTTATAGCTAAATGTTTGGAGGTGGAGCCTGATTGGAGCAGTTGGGTCCCTGGGGGTGTGGCCTGGAAGGACATATCTCTCTTTCGTGCCCTCCCTTCACCTTCTCTCTGCTTTCTGTATGCCACAAGATGAGCAGCTCTCCTCTGTCATTTCCCTCTGCCATCCTGCCCTGTTTTGGAGCCAGCTGACTATAGACTGAACTCTACTAACCATAAACCAAAATAAACTTTTCCTGTTGTAAGCCGTGGGTATTGTGTTTCAGCCATGAGAACAATGACTAAGACCGGACCATTCACGCAACAGCAGTGAACCCAGCCAACATGGTTTTTGCTCTCCTGGAACTCTTTTCTTTTAGGGCAGAGGCAAGCATTGCATAGATAAATAAAGAATATACTACATGTTGGGCTGGGGATTTAGCCCAGTGTTTCTGCCACCTGCCTCACAAGCGCAAGGACCCGAGTTCAATCCCCGGTATGAAACAAAACAAAACAAAACAAAAAAGAATATACTCTAAGTGCACAAAGTGACACGAATAAAGAAAGACTGATTTAGATTGAGGGAGGTTCACGGAGAGGTTCTTTGAGGAAATAGTATCTGTATTGAAATGTGAAGGAAAAGAAGGTCCTAGCCAAGTGAACTGTGGGAAGAACCATGTTCTAGAAGAAGCAAGAAAATGAGTGGAGAACCTGAAGAACCTGGTGCATCTGAGGAAGGCCTTTGTGCTGAAGGATACACAAAGTAAGGGCTGAGTTAAAATACAAGAAGGACATAAGCCAGAGAGAGAAGCAAGGCCAGTGAGGAAGGAACTGAGAGCCAAATCTGTTTTATCCTCACCTATCCATGCTCCCTCTGTGGACACTTTTGTTTTAGACCAAGGAATCTGTGTTGACAATCAGCCTTTATTCCAGAAGAGCAAGCAAAAGCCTAGTCTACCTTCTCCAAAACAATGAGATGAATAAAATGTTGAGTTTAAAAACAAAGGACTGAAAGTGCTTCCTTGATGTATCCTGTCCATCATGGACAGAAAGTGCTGTTCCCAGGCAGCACTTGTCACAAGAGTCTGGCTAAAGAAAGGAAAAACCTGGACTAATTGAAATGACTGTGGGCTGAGCCACCCAAAGACCTTTATCCAGGCAGCTCTGTCACACCATTGGCCATGGCGCTACGGAAGAGAGGAGTGGTGTGGGTGAAGAGGAATGTGGTGGAGGAATGAACATGAGGGAGAATCAGAAAATGTGGTTTCCATCACTTTCTGCTTCCTTCTGGACCTCTCACCTTGAACTCGTTCTCACTGTCTCTGGGTTTCTGATCCTCACCTGTTTTAATGTGGGATTTCTATCAGAATTACATGGGATAATAAATGTAAAGAGCAGTTTCTTTGTGTGTAAGTAGAGTGTGTACCAACTGTTTCCCCCTTCCAATCAAGGGTTTCTCAAGCTCCACACTATTGCTGTTTTCATACCATGTTGTTCTTTGCTGTGAGCAGCTGCTGTGTGCTTTGCAGGTTGCTCTACCCACTAGCTACCAGATGCACTCCCCACCCCTAGTTGTAACCGCCAAACACACACACGAATGCACACACACATGCGTGTGTGCACAGCCTATAGGCTACTACAGGAGAATGGAATTTGCTTGGCTTGTGGGGATTTGGAGCTTGAATAGCTACCTTTTCCCAAAAAGCCAGAGGGAAAGGAGAGGTAACTTGTGGCTGCTTCTCTCCTGCTGGGTCCACTTCTGCCCACTTCCCGTTAGGCTGGAGGTGGTTTTCAATATGGTGCATCTGAGACTAGGCCATTTCCCTGGGCTCAGTTTTACTACTATACAGGGACACCTGCTGCCATGCTTTTCTTTCTCAGTCCCTTGACAACTGAACTAGGTAGACTCTGTCTCTGAGAGCTAGGCCCAGGCATGGTTCTCCTCTTCCCGACTCCTCTGAGCCCAGAGATGAGAAGGTAAATTAGACCAAGGCTTTCTCCGAGGATCTGCCCAAGTATTCCTCTCTCATTTCCTCTCTGCACGGGGAAGGTTGACTGGACTGTTCTTAAGATTTCAGTTCAAATAACAGAAAAGAAATGGAAGGCTCACTTCAGGCTTCAGCCTAGGCAGTGCTGTTTGAAGCCATGAGACATTTCCCTGGGTTATTGGATCCTGACTCAGATATTCATCAAGTGGCATTTTGATTTGTATTAGTTTATTATTCTTTGGGCTACTTCTCCCAGGTTCCTCATGGGGAAGAAGGCAAATGGCAAGCCAGGACTCTGTCATTGCGAGTCCTTGAATATGTGGTACCATCTCCCTGTTCTCTAAACTTCTGCTCTTATTTGGAACAAGGAAAAAGAGCTGCTTAGGAGAGGAAATAAGAAGTTCCATTTTGAATATGTTAGTTTCGAGGGTGCAAATGTCCATCAAATGGTTAGAAATTTAGTCACAGACCTCCGAATAGATAATTTCTTGGGTTTTTCTTTCCTAGTCTAAATTTGGACACATGCACGAATATGCAGGGAGTTCCTTTAAAATTAATCTTCATTTCTTTGTCACAACTTTTGAACAAATCCCATCTACTTTTAAACTCTAACTTATTTATTAACAAGTTATTGACCTATTATTAAAATTTGATAGAGTCACTATTCAAAAGAACATATTTCTGGATATCAGGCTTAAACCCTGGAACTCACCAAAGAACATGGCTAGAGAAGGCCAGAGATTGTCAAGAAGAGAACACAAAAACATTTGAGTTGACCCTTCAAGTTGGTGTCACTAGAACCCTCAAGGAATAATAAAACAGGTGCAATTAATTAATTCAGTCCATCAACCTGATCTGAGCACCTGCTTTGTTCTGGGGCTTGTGCTTGATTCTGGAGGAATCAGACACAATATCCATTGCCTTCTAAGCCTTGGTTGTAACTCATCCACCTGTGAAGAATAAATTAAAACAAAGTTTTTTGGGCCAACATCTGGGAAATCCCGAGTCAGAGGGTCTGGTTTGGAACCTGGACTTCTGAATTTGTCTGTTACTCAGAGATAACTCTGAAGAAGAGCCAGCACCTTCAAGAACCTCAAGCATGGAGGCCACTGAGGAGCAGAGCCAGACACATACCAGACTGTGGCAGCAGCATCTTGAATTGCAAGGATGTGATGGGAGATGAAAGGGAAGTGATGAGGATTGATTAGCTGGAGGAGCTGTCAAGGCTCCTGTCACTGAGGTGGCAGCCAAGCCGGGCTTTGGATCAATTAGGAAGGTGCTCTGAGAAAGATGAAGAGCAGGCCATTCTAGACAAAGGGGAGACAGAGCACAAGCACACCTAGTTTATCTGTTTGTGTGTGCGCGCGCATGTGCGAGCGTGCGTGTGTGTTGATGAGGATTGAACCCAGAGCCTCATACATTGCCAGGCACATTGGTAGGCTGAGCTACACCTCCAGCTCTTTCTTTAAAAATTTGTTTTGAGCCAGGGTCTTGCTAGATTGCCCAGGTGGTCTCCAACTTGCAATCTTCCTGCTGGATTGCAGGTGTGCACACCACGGTGACTGGCATGCTCCTGTTGTTTTTTTTTAATTTGAAAAGGAAATCACAAGTGGTAAAGACACCTGTCAAGTCTGTGATTTCTGAAGATATATGATTGTTGCAACTTTATGATAATTAATATTGTAGAGAAGAGGATTCATATCTTAGATGATTTTTATGTCATTGTCAGCCTCTAGCATGGCTCTGGAAACTTGGCAGGCATTAAAATTGCTGGAAAAATGGCTCTCATACTAGAGGTGGAGTTTGTGGTTATTTTTTTTACTTACATTTGTATTTTTCTGAAATTTAGAGGGCCAAGCAAATGTTGACTTTGATGGAGGAGGTCACATCTGTGCCATCTCTGTGAATCAATCAGCGCTGCTGAAATGTGACTTAGCATTCTGCTGATGGCTTTCCTTGCTCAGCAGTGACAGATAGACTTGTCCCCCACCCCAGTGAGCACGCTTAGGCAGCCAGGATCAGAGCTGTTGAGACTGCTAATGTGTCCCGCCACATGGCTCTCAGAATGGATAGGACAGTCCATGCCAAATCATCTCTTCTGTCTCCAGGGCCCACTGAATGGTTCTGGACATCCATATTTTAGGCTGGACAGGGGCCTGAAGACCAGATGACCTGACAATACACAAATTCTAGTACAATTGGTTGCTTTTACTTCATTTAACAAGTATTAGTTAGATTTGATTTATCAGAAATATGCTGAATGTCAGGTGATCACAAGAGAGGGAAACTAGCTTGTCAAGGAAATGAATTGTCCCAGGATTTCTACCCACTCCTGTTATTTCTCTGAAATTCTACTTCTTTTAGTTGGCTGGGTCGAAAGTCTGGATGGTAAAGTGCAAGACAGTCTACAATGAAGATTTTTAGAATTTTAAGATGAAAAAGCAGATGCCACCAAGGGACACTATCCACCAGGTTTAAAGCTCAAACTCTCCTGTTACTTCCTCCTTCACCTGGTGCCATTGAACTCAGTGGAAGAGTGCAGTGGAATTCTTCACTTTAAGGCACTGTATTCTCCTAGGTATCAACATGTTAATAACCTTTCATGTCTTTCAAAGTAACATACTTCATTCTTCTAAGAACTAAAATCAGGTCAACTTCACTGCCACCTCTATCGTTAATATGCTTCTCCATAACCCAGCACCCAGTTAAGATTTATTGAGAGATCTATGGTGAAGTTAAGGCCCATAAAAGAAATTGATGTGTTTCATATGTTTGGTTACAGATGGAAAATGGGCATTCTGAAGGACATAAAGGAGAAAATGTTTATACATTGAGCATCAGTTCTCAAGTTAGATCATCTGGGTTTGAATCTTAGGTCTTCCTTTATTAGCTATGTGACCTCAAGCGACTCACTTAAGTGGTCCTGTGCTTTCTAAGCAGTAAAATCTCCCTCTTCAGCTATATGAGTATTTAATAAATTAGGAAACTTAATGGGGTTGGACCTGTGCATATAGCATGTAGTCAGCAAGCAGAACACAGTAACCATTATTTATCAGTATAGGCAAATTGGATTCGTGTATGTGATCATAAGCTTTTAAATCTTCTTAACTTTTAAGAGCTTTTGAGTTATTGACACAACTCTCACAAAAGAGTGGCAAAATTATTGGTGAGAATTGAACAGCCTTTTTTTTTTTTTAAGACAGAGCAATTGATACTTGCTGAGATAAAGACGATTGCTCAGAAAGCATTACCTAGCAAGGGAGCTGCGGATTAATTACAATAGTCCAGTCTCTTTCTGATAGTGTCTGAAAACTTCTACTTTGCTCTTGAAGTGGAAGTTGAATTAGCTGCTCAAAGTATTTTTATTAACAAAAAGTACAACTGTCCAGTCCAAGGGAGACAAAGTCAGAGGTCTCCTGGATCTCACTCTACCTCAACCAGCTGTAGCCAGGGGCCATTTCCTTCTTTTGGTTTGTAAATTGCCAGTGGCAAACTTGGGCCACTTAACAGGAGTTAAATTTTGTGAGCCACCGAAGACCTTTGGCACACTGGTGTCAAAAAGAGAAAGTCATGCTCCCAGGCACACTTGTCTTACAGATTCCCGGAGGATGTTGCTGTCCAGCTCCACCCCATCCAGTGAGATATGATCCAGACACCCTGCACAGACAGACAAGCCTCATTTTCCACAGTTGTCTCTAAAGTGCCTTCAGGAGATGGTTTTCTCAGCGCCTCTCCCTGCATTCCCTGCTTAGGATCACAGGGCAACCTGTTTAAACGACTAATTGCAGAAATCATTAAAGGCACCAAGCAAATGTTGTCTTTGAATGCCCATCTTCCAAGTTTTACAAGTCTTGCTCAGCTTGACAGTGATGAGGCCACTTAACAGTCCATGCAGGCGGATGTTAAAAAAAGAAGAAGAAGAAGAAAAAGGTGACCATATGTGGTTCAGTTTCCTAACTTTCAAATTTCACACTTAGCGTTTGTCATTTTGTTACTGGGCACCTGTTTAAATTCTATTTTAAAACGTTAATGCAAGTTGTTTCGAATAAAATCAGGAAAAAGAGAGTGCAGGTTAAGTTGATCGTTTTATCATTGAAATTATGGCAGAAAATATTTTGCACGACACCTGTGAGATCTGCAGTGAGAACACACTTGCCCACCTCAGTCTTTTTCTGGGAGGAGAGAACCTCGTTTGGGGAACAGATTGGTGTGGGAGACAGGGAGGAAGGTCTCAGCATCAGGGGCACTTTTGAATCATCTCGATCATGGGTGTGAGACCCCAGTGCGGGAGGCGGATGGTGGCTGGAGTTAGTAGCCCTTGAGAGTTGTAAAAAGTTGTGCTTCTTCAACCCTACAGGCCAGGAAGCGATGAGAGACGTGGAGCTGAATTGCACCCCTTCCAGGGGTATGGCTCAACTCTGGAGACGATGCATCAATATAATTGCCCGACATTTCCTTTCCTTTCTTCAAAGGGGGACCCATTGGCTAAAAACATAATTACCCTATTTGCAGCCTTTAAAACTGTATGGGTGCAATACTCAGTCTAATGGGTGCTGGCAAGTGCTATTTTCCTACATGTGTAGAATTGGTGAGTATTTGGGGGTATTGAAGAAAAACAAAAGACACACATTGTCCTGAAGATATTGTAAACCATGGTGAGTTAACCCAGACAATGGAATTAGGATCACATGGGAAGTTTGGGTCTTTTTTGAAGTTAAAGTGCATTTTCAAGTGGGAATCAGTAGAGATTTCATAAACTGATGCCTTCTTGCTTTTCCATATCCTCTCCCATTTTTCAGCGGTGAAGATGAAATTTTATTTGACATATTTATGGGATTAATGACTAAGAATCTCTTACTATAGTATTCTCTTCTCCAAAATTACCCTGGGAATGGCCAAAGTCCACGATCACAAAATCATAAACCCATATGTCGGTGTGTCTTTAGAGCAATACTTTCTATGAATAATTAAAAGCCCTGAAAGATGAAGCCCCTTATATTGATTTCTACCTTTTCATGTTCAACACCTTGTATTATTTTGTTGGGGAAAGGATCATTCAGATTCCCCTGGCTCAGTAATTCATAAACAAGAAGCTATTTTTCTTTCCACCCATTCTCCAATCCTTGTATACATAAAGCCATGAAGCAGATTTTTCATAATCTTTCAGGGTGACTAAGAAAACAGTTCTGTGAGAAGCACTGTGCACAAACATTACTGACAAGGAGTTGCGATTATTTTTCCTCTTTCTATTCCTCATCCTTCTTCTTCCTCTTATCTGCTGAATTTTAAATGGCCTATAATTTGCCACTTATCTTTCTACTATGGAGGTTTTTTTGCCTGAGTACAAGCATTTGCAGTAACTGTAGTCATAGATAGATAAATAGTAGATAAATAGATAGATAGATAGATAGATAGATTTTGAAGAAAACCTCTAATCCTTTTATACTGGGACTTTCTATTCATTCACTTATTTAATTCATTTACCTATTATTTATTGATCAACTACATATCAAGCACAGGCTCAAGGAGTATACTATTGCTTCACATAAGTTGATATTAGAGCAGAAGACTTGTATTTGTATCAGGGATGTAAAATTACTGCATTGCTAAATCCTAGGTGTTTTGAAAAGCCTCATATTCATGGCATCAATTGCGAGAAATGAACACACCTACACTGCTTGTCCATTGAAAAATATATTTCACAACGGTATTCCTGAGATGCAGTCAAATTATGGAATTAGTCACATTCCCTGATGTATTTTTCCTGTTTATTCCAGAACTTGGTGAAATATTTTGCTTCACCTTCCTTTTCCAGTTACTGAGATGTCAGTATTTGCATTGCACAGTGGTAAATACCGAGCAGTACTGTGTGTGTCTGTGTTCCACTTGTAGTAGTGCTGAGATAGAGCTCAGAAGTAGAGCTGGGAAAGGTTACAAGGAAGTGTATGTATGTGGTGGGACAGGATTACAAATCTAGGATGAGACACATTGAGTTATCAAACAAACGATGAAGTTCCTAAGCAGACAGTTGTTTACAGGGGCTTAGAAGTGGGGGCTAACATTACAAAAATTCACTGTGTTGGCTCCACAATCACTCAGGTTTCCATGGGGAAGGAGTCTCTGCCATCTTGTAAATTGCACCACCAGGTAACAGTAAAAGAGGGAAAAGGAAAGAAATCCTAGGTCTTAACTGCATCTTACCCTTGTAACTTGCAGTGGCATTTCTTACTTCTGCTCAAAGTGAACTGAGCACACAACCCTCACCTCACTGCAGAAGGACTGGAGAAATGTGAGGATTATTGGTGGGCACTAACTGGCATTGCCAGGAAGGAGGAGGGACTGGTGGCAGGGTTTGGTGTGCATGAGTAAGCAAGTAAGCATGGCATTGCACGCATGAGCAGTGGCTTGGCTCCATAGCTGACATTTGTACACAGAACAGAGCACCTACCACACACAACATGGTTACAACACTAGATGGGTGGATAGGGTGGAGGTCATGCTGCCTTCTCTCCCGAGAGCTTCATTCTACAAGGAATTTTCCATTTAGAATATCAGTCACTGCTATGTAACCCCAGGGGAAGTAGTTCCTCCTCTTTTTATAATGTTAACCAGTGAATGTGCCTCAATTATTCTCCATGTTGGCTCCTGGAGGGCTGGCACTTTAATGCAGGCCCTGTCTAACTGCCTACAAGGTATCTAATTAAATTACCTATCTACAATAAAAACAAGAGCCAAAATAAACCTCTCTCCTTCAACCAATGGGTTTCGGGTACTGTCTTGTAAGACCGAGGGCCTTATCAAATGCTCCCAGGAGCTGACTGCAGCTAAGAACACCCGGCAAGGAACACACTGGACAAGTTGGAAAGTAAAACAGACCTTTATTAGTCTGGCCAGAGGGCACTCCCAAAGCAAAGTAGCTTAGAGAGGCAACTGGCTCAGACCCCGAGGCTGTTTCTATAGGGGGTTGCAGAGGAAGTTAGCAAGCAGAACTTACAGAAAAGAGAAAAAAATGTTGATGGTCAAAAGATGTTTGCAGATTGTCTTATAGATAGCTGTGTCCAGAACATCGGTTTCGGACAAACAAGGAGTCGGGTAATTCACTTAGGAACTCTATGTTTGTTACAGATTTTATCTAGTGTCCCAGAACTAACAAGCACATTTTAACCATTAACTCACCATCAGTCACTGTGGTGGGGCTGGGGGAGCTTTTATGATTACAGAGTTATGCGGTCCCACAGTCTCTCAGTGAGGAGAGGAGTGACTAAGACACCAAATGAATGAATGAATGAACGAGAAAAACTAGAAGGTGGAATTGAGAGATGAGGAAGGGGACTAGGCAGAGAGGAGAGGAAAGGAAAAGAGGAGCAGTGGGACTTAAAAAGATGATCAAGATAGGCTAAATGAAACCAATTTAGAAAAATAAATCATTTTAATAGAAAAATACTGGTGAGAGAAATAACACGAATTCATTTTGATCCTTCTGGAGATAGAAGCATTTATTTTACCCTGGTTAGTGTTCAGCAAGTACAACTTCGAAGATAAACCATTTTGTTAACATTGCATACGCTGAAAATGATTCTTTTGCAACTTTGTCCTTTATATGCCTATTGCCTTTTCTTCTTTCTTTTTAAATACATTATACTCAATTTAAAAAGGGGGTAAGTAGGGCAGCTATAGCGCGAATTTCAGGAAGCAGAAATATTGGAAGTTGTTGATAGTACCTTTCATTCACAGATACTGTTTCTGAAATGCTCATTGGTCAGTGCCTGGTAGGTTCCACCCTATGGCCCTGAGATGCTTGTGCTCACTGGAGCCTTTCTGCTGTCTGTCATAACCAGCATTTAAATAAATCTCATTTTTATTCCTTTCAAAGCTTCTCAGTGTCTGCCCAAGCTAGCACTTTCCTCCACCCATTCCCCAAGGAGAGCTCACAGTGACGTTGTCCACCTGACTCCAGGCTGTCCTAACTACACCTCCCTGCCCAGGGCCTCCGTCCACAGCAGGAACTGAACATTATAACCAAGTCCTTCAATGCAACGCTTATTTACAAATGTCACTGTCTTTTAAAACATTAACTTCTGAAAACATACACAAACATAGGATTAACAACGGGATCTCAGTATGGCGTCTTCCAGTTGCCATTTTCCTCTCTGCTCTTACTATGATCACATTCCCTAAGTATCCTCCTAACATAGTTGCCAATTTCCCCTCCCCAAAATAATCTCCCTTCCTTTCTTTTCCCATCTTTTCCTTAAAGCTCTTCCAAGTCATTTTTTAAGGCCCTACAAAAGATCAACTCTTTCTGCAGCTTTTCTGACTTCCACCCTCAGAAGAGTTTGTTATTCCCTCTTCCTTGCTTATGTAATACTCTCTAGGTGCTCAGAACATTCCACAAGAACATTTATTTATAATTTCAACTATTCCAACTGGATTCTGAGTTTCTTAAAAGCATCAATTTGTATGTTATTTGGCATTTTTTTCCTCCCCCAGAACTCATGGCTCCTAGTATTTAGGTAATCACAGAATAATTTATTGAATGAAAATTACGCAATATGTCAGCTTTTAAAATACAAGAGTGGCTTTAGGAATCCTTAAATGAGCCTTTAAATAAGCAAAGCGTTAGGAACGCTGCCTATACACATCCTTAATTTTCACATGGTTTCTTGTATATGAGAAATCCCAAATATAAGGAGCAGAATAAACGATAGGTAAATAAGTAGGGAGATCAATCTTTTGCAAGGTACCAAGAGATGCAGGAGGGTGAAGGGAGGAGAGAGGAAGGGGGTGAAAAAAAGAATTTATGTAAGTTATGTACATGTACCAACTGCCCACAAGGAATGCAATCATTATATACTGCAAACACGTAACAATTAAGAAAAAAAAAAAAAGAATAGATGGTACAAAGTATAACAGGGTGTCAACATAAGTGTTAGAAAAAAGTCCAGTCGAAACCAGGTCCAGGGTCCAAACAAGCATTTATTGGGAGAGGAGATGCTGCTGGGCCACCTCTGAACAAAGAGTGCAGCAGCGTGGCAGGAGTTGAGGCACCTTCATAGGGATGGGAGATGGGGTGGTGAGGGATTGGAGGGTTTACAAGGTGTGTCACCATGGGCCTGGAGGAACTTGTGACATCACTAGTTCCCAGAAAGGGAGCAAGTATCAGGTTGATCTTTTGGGGGGAAGAGGGGCATTATGGGAAGAAGGTTGTCTTTTTGTGGGAGAAGCCATTTTGGGGGCTGGGTTTAGGCGTGAAACACTGCATCAAGGGGAAGAAGAAAACCAGTTTGGGTGGGAAGGAAGCCATCTTGGGGCTGGGTTTTAGGCGGGAATACAGTGGATTGTGGGAAGAAGAAGGGGAGCTTGTGGTGGGAAGCGCGGCATTATGGGAAGGAGGAGGCAGACATTTTGAGGAGAAGGAACTCTACCAATAACCAGTTCAGTCAGTGTAAATTACTCATGGCTGACACTGGGAGCATTGTCTCTGCAAAGGTAAAATGGGAGTAAGAACCCTGGTCTTTCTTATTTCCTTCCATTCTTATGGAGGTCAAGTAGCAAATTACAGGCAAAAGCCCTGTGTGAATTGTAGATAATTCAGGACTCCCTTGGCCTTCGGACTACTTTTAGGAAGGTAGAAGATCAAGGACTGGGTGATTCTAGAAGGTACAGTTGGCTTGAAAAACCTTTCCACTTTTATTAGAGGAGAAATAACCTAGCATGTATTCCAGAAGAATTACTATTGGGCTGGCAAAGCCATAAACCCCCAAGGGTATTGAAGCCTCTTAAAGTGAGGAATTGGCAGAGGTGTTTATAGAAGTTACAGTTCTGCTTTCTTTAGGGGGGGCTGCTTTCTTTAGGGGGGTTCTATTTTCTAGTGCATCAAACCAGCTGATATAAGTGAGAGGAAGCAGAAGAGAAAACATTGGTCTGATTGATGTAGGTTCTTACACATCGCACACCTCTTTAGGAGGAATTAGCATCTTAGATAGGAGGCCTTGGAGGATTTTAATGTTAAGTTAATTAAAAGCCAAA